GGGGGGGGGGGGGGGGGCGTACTCTTATGCTTTGCATGCCTTAGCGGTTAGACCATTGACCACGCGTCCTCGAGAGGACGGAGCATTGTTCCCACAGGACCGATCACCGATGGTCAATCGTTCCTTCCTACTTTGCCAAAGGTGGCTCAAAAATTTCTTTCCTAGTCTGTCTATCCTACCGATGTCACTTCCCGCTTTTTCAAACCACTTTCTACTCCCCAGTACCGCTACCGTCCTCTCCTCTCTATTCCATGCCTCAAACATCTCCCTGTACGTCCCTTGTATTCTTCCCAGCTCAGTCATGTACACTTCCCTCTCCTTTTCGTACCACGGACATTCCGCGACTACATGAACACTGTCTTCGCATTCGAAGCCGCAATCGCATTTGAACTTGTCGTCTTCGTCGTCTACCGTCCTATGTCTTCGTCGACGTTCGCGAAGGCCTATGTCCCCGGTCCTGAATTTGACCTTAAGCTTTGTCCCTGCATCCATTGGTCCATGTAGGTAATCCTTGAACCCTATTCCTTCTCAACATTCCGTACACTTCTAGACCCTCCTTATCCTTGGTTTCTTTCCTTAGATTCTGTTCTTCTCTCTCGGCACAAGCAACAGATATCTTCTTCTTGAACCCCTGTAGACCCTCCGTTTCCAGCGTTTCATCTTCGTCGATGTCCAATCCCTTCCATACGTCCTCTACAACCTTGACCCATTCCGTGGGTTGTCTACCCCTCTTTTTGTTTGCCCACTTCGCCTCCCATACTATTCTCGGCAACCTCTCCTCTCCCATCCCGCACATGCGGTACTGCCATGTCAGCTTCCTTACGTCTCTTCCCGACCGTAGGGATTGGATCCCCAATTCTGCCCTGACTGCTGCATTACTTGTGCGCTTGGAGCATCCTAGGATGATTTTCGCTGCTTTCATCTGCGCCGCCTCGAGTTCTTTCACTACCTTCTTATTTCCTTCCCATACTTCTCCGGCGTACTCCAGCGGCGGTACGATTACGCTCTTCAAAACCGTCAATTTGATGCGTGTATCAAGGTGCCGGTTTGCGAGTATTGGGTGCAGCTTCCCTGCTCGTGCTTTGCCCTTTTCCGCTACCTTGGACATGTGTGCATTCCACGAGCAATCTTTTGCGATCTCTACTCCGAGGTATGTGTACTGGTCCACTACTGCAATCTCCTCGATCCCCCACTTCCATCTATGTTCTACTGGTTCCTCCCTGCCCTC